GAACCCCATTTAAACAATACTATTTCACTTAATCCTCCAATCCACTATACTCATTTTTACGGATGAGGAAACAGGCTCAAAGAGGATAAATAACTTGCCTAAGTTTAAAAAGAAAACATGCTATCAGACTTCGCAGTCCCTGCTTTTGACCTTTTATAACTCTTAGAGCTAGAAGTACTTTGAAACAGTAAAACATTGTGTTTGAGAGGTTTATTTAGGGTGACAAACCATCCTTGTTTACCGAAGACAGAAGATTCCTGGAATGTTGAACTTTTAGTCCTAAAACCAGGAAAGTCCCAGGCCAACTGAGATGAGTTTGTCAATCTATGTTTGCACCAAGACCTTCAATCCAGGGTTGGCTGCTCAGGCTTCATTTTCCCTGATTTCTTGGTCTCCTAGACCTCACCTGTGGTCAGTTTCTTTGTCTAGCATTTGAGGACCTGCTTCAGTCCAGCAGGCAGAGGAGGAATTTGGGGCAGAAGGGTTCAGGAATCAGATGGTATCTTCATCATGGAAAACGGAGGTGCAGAGCCTGGGTCACTACTTGAGAAGCCAGTGCTAGATTCTAGGCGGCCCTGCCTACCTCCCACCCCCAGATACAGGATATGTACTTAGAAGCCATGGATTTACAGGGCCAAAGCCAGACAGATCTAGATTCAAATCCTAGCCCCTCACTTAACTTTGTATTTTTCTGGGTCTGTTCGCTCCATAAAAGTAGGATAATAATCCCAATCCAGTGAATGGGACCTGAAAAGCAACTGAAATGTGTGTGAGATACATCCCACAGGGTCTATGCATAATCCTGTTTCACACTCAAGTGTCCTTCCTCCCTCTTTCCTGGCCTGTGTTTCTTGCCCAGTCCTGTCACCTGTCATGTCTTTCACATACTCCCTTTTGCCCTTACCACTTGCAGCCCTAGGGATTCTCCTCAGGGAGCCCTGACCTCGTGGGCTTAGCCCACCCACCCAGCTGCCCTGCATGTCAGTCACCTCCCCTGCGAGCAGAGAAGGAATGACATCAGCTTTTCCCCCTCTCCCCCATCTAAAGCCTCTGGACTGTTTTGAGCCATAAATATTTTAGCTGGGCCTTTCCCTAGCTGTTGCCAGGGTGATGGACTCTCAAGGGACTGGGGTGGGAGTGTGGAGGCGGGGCTCCGCAGCCTGGCCTAGCTGGAGAGCAGGCCTTGGAGGGGCGGGTACAGGCCTGGCCAAGGGCCAGTGCTTGCTGCAGTAGTTCCGAAGGCTGTTACTCTGCCTGCCTTCCCTCTCCCAGGCCCCTGAGAGCGGCTCCTGCTGTTTTCCAGGCCCAGTTCTGCCCTTGAGCAGTGCTTGATCTTGGTTGGATTGCTATATATCTCTGGGCCTTCATTTCAACAACTGTAACAGATAAGTCCATTTCACCAGTAAGTGGAGAAGATAAGGTTTTGTAAAAATCCTATGAAACATGTTTGGTTAGTAAGTCACGATGGAGAAGCCCAGGGCCCACAGCCCTATCCAATAGACCTACAGGCTGGGGCCCCAGGGCAATGTGGACGCCACTCTAAAAGCTGACTGTCAGACGCGGCACGGCCTCCCATTCTCCCTCATGCCCCCTATTCCTCATGCTTTGCCCCCAGCTCCTTTTCTAAGGTGCCCAGGCCTAGCTGGACGACTGGCACGGGGGATTCTAAGGAATTTAGTCCTTATGAACAGAGTTAATGAAAGAAAGACTCTTTTGATTGAAATACAGAAACTGGATCTGGCCCTCACTCTTCTAATCCCCTACCGCCCCACCTCCCACCCCATCCTAAAGATCTAAATCAGAATATTTGCAAAGCTGTAGCTCTCAGCAGCATGCCCCATCCCCTTTGGGATGGCTCTAAGAAACAAGAGAGCCAGAGAGAGGGGTGCCTGGCTCCATGCCCTATCCCTACCATGGAGAAGCTCTGGATCGGGTCCAGAATTCCACACCCCCTGCCCAGCCCTGCCCACCAGTGTTTGTGTGGGGTTGGAAGCTGATTCCTTTGTATCGAGCACCCTCTGGTGATTGAGATATGCATTGTGTGAAAATAAGATCTCAAAAGACTAAATCGCAGGCCACTCTGAAAAGTGGGATGATTTGCTCTTACCTAAAGTTCCCCTTCTTGAACCCAGCTACTAGTGACAGCTATGCATTTCCTATGTCAGACAACCCTCCTGTATGTGTACTTCTGTCTGTCATTAATCCTCACAATGACGTGGGAATTACTCTAATTTTACAGATGAAACAGACTTAGGTGAAATCAAATCTGAACACTTCACTGTATGTAGCATGTGGCATTCAAGACCCTCAAGTGATATGAACTTAATCTATAGCTTACCTCTGGACCTTTGCTCATGCTGTTTTCTCTGTTGCCATCCCCCCCCCCCCCCCCCCCCGCCCATCCTTGCAGTATGTTACACACCAAATCCATCTATACTGGAAAAACTAACAAAATACAACATTTTCTCAAGCTTGCACATACTATGTCTCTAATAAGCTATTATAAGACATGGATGGGAACAAATGTCTGAGAATAAGTGGGTAAGTGTCTCTGAGATGTGGAAGGTTGGATGGGGAGATTAATATATATGTGGAAATCAGAATAACCCAGGAAATAAAAAGAACATGAAGACATCTGGATTCTCTTGTAGTAAAAAAAAAAAAAAATTGGGTATAAGTATTCTTGCTGGCAAAAAGGACAAATCTGGGAAACTGAGGCAGAAATTTAGGTGACATTTCTTCAAAAGTCATCAATCTTAAATTCACATTAGTTTTCTTGTTACTTCATAATATATCCATGTTTTAATAATAGGTAATACTTAAATAGCATTTACTATACACCAGGTATGTTTTAAGTACTTTACACTGTCTAACTTGATCTTCACCATAATCTCCTAAAATAGGTACTAATATTTTTTCAATTGAAATGTAGTTGCTTTATGATAATATATTCAAGTGTACAGCATAGTGATTCAAAACTTTTATCAGTTATACTCCATTTAAAGTTATTATAAGCAAAGACTTCCCTGGTGGTCCAGTGGTTGAGAATCCGCCTTCCAATGAAAGGGATTCTATCCCTGGTCAGGGAACTAAGATCCCATTGAGCCTGTGCTGCAACTACTGAGCCCACACACTCCAGAGCTCATGCTCTACAACAAGAGAAGCCCACACACTGCATCAAAGACCCAGCACCCCCCCAAAGTTATAAATACTGGCTGTATCCTCTGTTCCGTACAATACATCCTTGTAGCTTATTTATACATAGCAGTTTGTACCTCTTCATCCCCTGCCCTTATCTTGCCCCTCCCCTCATTCCTCTCCCCAGTGGCAACCACTAGTTTGTTCTCTACATCTGTGAGTTATACTAACCTCACTTTATACTGAGGAAACTGAGGCACAGAGAGGTTAAATAATTTCTTAGGGTCATGCAGCTCGTAAGTGGTAGAGCCAGGATTTGATTCCATGTAAGTCTGGCTCAGAGAAGGTATTCTGGATAACTATATTTTAATATTGAAAATACTGCCTTACATTGCTATGAATAAAACTGACACTCCGGGAAGCAGTATTGTATCTTATGCTATGGTTTCAGGACCCCCAGAGGTCTGCATAATCCAGGCTGAAAACTGATCTTGAGGACAGACATGCCAACCTTGGTCCCAGAATAACAGAACCAAGGAAGAGATCCCAACTCCTGATGTCCAATGACACATGGCTGGCGCAGAGCCAGTGGCATTTCCTCAAAAATTCAAGTCTCCTGGGAGAGCCAATAGAGAGCAAGTTAATCAGGAAATGAAGACATACATACATAGTTAATCAGGAAATGAAGGAGGGAAGTGAGGGCCTCAGGGTCACAAAACAGCTGAGATGTGTGGGCACAGATCTAGAGGACAAAAACCCAACGAACATCCTGCCATCATAGTTATTTTCTCCACAGAGCCTGTTGTAGGAGGCAAATGTAGAAGGATTAAGGCCCTAGATGTTTCTAGTAGATGCTGAGATGGAAGTGTATATTGTTCTAGATTCTTTCAGTAGGAACTGTCAGACACCAAACTGGCTTTTTGTAACAGAAAAGTCCATAAAGACTTCAGATATACCTGGATCTAATGATACTGTTAAGAAAATGACTCCTGATTCTCTAACTTTTCTGTGTTTCTTTCATTGTCAGCTAAGTTCTCCCCGAAAGGTGGCAAGATAACCACCAAGAACTTCAAGTTTATATTTTACTTCCTTAGCCATCCCACAGGGGGGAAATTTTATTGCCCAATAGTTGTGGCAAAGGTCCTAGGATTGCATCTCATTTGGCCTAACTTGGGTCACTAACACACCTCCACCCTCCCCCCAGCCAGTCCCTGTAGCCTGACATGGCAGGGATGGAATGCTTTGATTTGTCAGGCAGGCCAGGAGCATCTGCACACACGGGAACTGCAGACTAAGGCAGCCACCCTAAACTTCATGGAGAGAGTGGGAGGAAGGGTAGATTCCCAAGGGAAAATGAGTGTTCATATCAGAAGAAAGAGGAATGAATGCTGGGCAGGCAAAATCAGTAGTCAACCTTTACAAGGTGAGCAGGAGCCACAGGTAATGGGTCACATGCATAGTGGTCCATTTGAGTGCCCTTCGCCCCATACCCTGGGTTGATTGAACATCCTCAAATCAATTAAGCAGGATTTCCCTTGTGGTACAGTAGATAAGAATTCTGCTCCAGGAAGATCCCACATGCCACAGAGCAACTAAGCCTGTGCACCACAACTTCTGAGCCCATGCCCTAGAGCCCATAAACAGCAACTACTGAGCCCACATGCCCTAGAGCCCGTGCTCCACAACGGAAGCCACTTCAATGAGAAGCCCCTGCACCCCAAAAAAGAGTAACCCCGGGCTTGTGGCTCCTAGAGAAAGCCCGTGAGCAGCAATGATGACCCAGTGCAAACAAAACTAAATAAATGAAATTTTTAAATGTTTTTTAAGAAATCAATTCAGCAAACATTTCCTGAGTATTTGCCATGTACAAAGTCAAATACCTTCCACATAGTAGATGCACAGCAAGACATTCCCCTGCCACCAGCCCCAATAAGGCAATTACCAGACAAGCTATTGCTTCCACCCTGAGGAATGTAACAGCCAAACTCCTATTCTCAGAAACCAGGTCCCATGTCCTCTCTTATGAAGCCTTCCCTAGATTACCTCCCCTGTCAAGGTTAGTCATCTTCTATCCACCTCTGTACCTGGTACATACTGCTGTTGTTACCACATTGGGTCATAATTTATTGATTCTCCTCTGTGTCTCTCCCACTAATGAGCAGCACCTCTGTATCCTCAGTGGCCAACATATAACAGATGCTCAGAAATGTTTATTGACCTGAGTTAAAATGAGTTCCCAGGAATGGCCCAGCTTCAGTCATTGTCTACGGAATATTCCCGAAATCCTTTAGCTTCCCTTCCCAACTGGCTTCAAGAGCTAGTTTGCCACTACCTCAATTCAACTGAATTGATCCCAAATAAATGCCTGTCACATACCAGGTGGTTGCCAGGTGTTGGGGATTCAGTAACTAACAAGATACACTTCAAATTCAGTACTCTAAAGAGGTCAGAACCGGATCTTCTAACCAGAATTTCTTTGGCTAGAAAAAGAAATCTCAGCCCTGGTTTCTACCCCACTTTGTGACCTGCTTTGTGATACAGTTGTTCTCCCTTCCTAAGCCCTCTTTTTCCCCAGAAAGGAAGGCCTCTTTGTTATTAATATAGCTCTATAATTTAACAGATGTATATATGTTAAAATCCATATTTCCATTTGCCTAGGCTAAAAACCATGAAGCAATCCTTATCTTCTCTTTCTTCCATTCGCACACCTGTTTGTGTTTCTTCGCACACCTATCCAAATTTGTCAACAAATCCTGTTGACTTTACCTTCAAATCCAGGCTCCAACCATGACTCATTTCACTCAGTCTGGTACAAACCATCAATATCTCTTGCTACGATCACTGCCATAGCATCCTGGTCTCCCTGTTTCCGCCCCTCTGCCCTACAGGCTATTCTCACAGGACAGCTGGAGTGATTCTTTAAAAAAGGAAGTTCAAAAAAAAAAAAAGGAAGTTCAAGCCCTCCAGTAGCTCCCATCTCATTCAGAGTAAAAGTCACAGGTCCATTCTTTCTCATGTCCGACTCTCATGTCTATTCCATTTCAAGCCACATTGGCCTCCTTGCTGTTTCTTAAACATAGCAGGCGTGCTCGGTGCTTGTACCTGAAGGCCCTTCCAATGACTTTTTCCCTCTGCCTGGACCGCCCCCTTCCTCCAGATATCTACATGACTGACTCACTCTTTCCTTCAAGTGTTTGTTCAAAAGTCACCTCTGTGAAACCTACTGACTACCCCTGTTTAAAATTGCAACCTCCCATCCCCCTTTCCTGTTTTCCTCCATCACAATCATTCCTTTCTAATGATTTTTACTATATTTTTTATGCCCATCTCCTCCCACTTAACTGTAAGCTTTGTGAATTTCTATTAATTAAATACCTAAATCATTTAATTAATTGAATATTGTTGTCTATTATATGCCAAACATTGTGTTATTTGATGGGAGGTACCAGATGATGGAGACAACTTAGAAGTCTTATGAGGGAAGAAATTATAACAATTACTAGTAACAGCTCATTTATTGAGAGCTCCCTCTGTGTTAAGTGCTTGCCATACATCTTAATAGTAATGACGGCTAACATTTATCAAAACAGACTCTGTTCTACATGCATTATTTCATTTAATACTCACCAAGCCCTGTAAGGTGAAAGTTACCAGTAAAGAGCAAGAAACAGGAATCCAAGTCTTGGAACTGGCAGAATCAGGATTTGAACTAATGTAGTGAAAGAAGGATATTCTTCCTCACATATTCTCATAAGTGAGAAATAATGCTGAAGCTGAAGCTCCAATATTTTGGCCACCTGATGCGAAGGGATAACTCATTAGAAAAGACCCTGATGCTGGGAAAGACTGAAGGCAGAGGAGAAAGGAACGACAGAGGATGAGATGGTTCGATGCCCAAACTCGATGGACATGAGTTTGAGCAAGCTCCGGGAGTTGGTGATGGACAGGGAAGCCTGACGAGCGGCAGTCCATGGGGTCGCAGAGTCAGACACGACTGGGCGACTGAACTGAACTGAACTGAGCGTCAGGAAGACTAGGTGGAAGACTGGATATGACGGTAGAAGGAAAAGGAGGAAATGACTCCCAAGTTTTGACTTGGATGGACTAAGTAAGGCCAAAGAGAAAGATGAAAGCCCAATTTGGGACGCGATCAGTTTGAGGAGCCAGTGGACGACTCATGGATGCAGGAACCGAGATGAGGTTCTGGCCACCTCCCTCGGTCCTGAAAAGGTGCTAGGAAAAGGCAGGCAAGGGAAGAGATGGAGATAGGTTCTCCTCCCTCTCGGGTTTTCCAGCTGCATTTGCAGGAAGGGCGTGGGACACCGCAAGACAAAGAGCGCGCGGCACTGCCTTTGTCCAGGGCGGCCCCTTTAAGAAGCGCGCCCCCAGCTTCTAGCCCGCCTTGTATGCAAATTTGGCGGCGGGGCGGGAGCGCGCAGCTGATACCCGGGGACTGGGCTGCGGCGGTTAGTCCTCTCTCGGCCGCCGTCGCCTCCGACATATTGCCCGCAGGAGCTGCGGCGGCGAAGCGGAGAGCGCCGGGGGGAGGAGATGGGTGAGCGGCACGGGTCCGGCTTGGCCCGGGGACGGGCGGGCTCCGGGATCAGGATGGCCAGGCTGCTAATTGCTCCCCCACGCGGACAGGATCCCCGCGAGAGGAGGGGGAGGGGATGTTGGGCCCAGGGGGACCCCGCCCCCTCCTGTCGTTTTGCGGGTGGGGCTTCTGTTGTGGGGGCGGGACATTCGAGGGGTGGGCGGGGCTTCTAAAATGCGGAGGTTCCTGGGGGCTTTAATAGGGACCCACTGTCCGGGGCTTGAGTGGGGCGGGGCTGCCCGTGGGCGTGGCCTTCGTGCTAAGGGCGGGGCTCCTAGCCTGTAGGCCCTGGTGCAGGGGCAAATTTTCTGGGCAGTAGGGGCTTTGTACTGGGGAGGTGGGGCAGAAAGGAGACCTTCCAGATGAAGGGAGCCCACTCTGGAGCCGGGCTTCTGGGCAGAGAGCTTCTATTGGCTTGTGGGCGGGTTTTCTGAGCTGACAATTGTGTGTAGGCGGAGCTTCTGGGCTGAGAGGCTATATGTGGGTGTAGAGCTTCTATAGAGAGGAGAGTGGGTGTGGGTAGAGCATTTGGACTGAGGGTACCTGTGTGGGGTTTTCTAAGCCAGGTACAGTAGCACGTGAACAGAGCTTTGGCGCTGGGGCTGGTCGCGGGCAGAGTTCCTGGACAAGAACTTTTTTGGAAACGTTGGGGAAAAGCTTCCAGGCGGAGAAGCTAGGGCAGGGGGTGTGTGTGTCTGTGGAGGCTGCTGTGTGGTCATGAGGTATGAACAAGGCTTTAACTTTGGGCTTCCCAGGTGGTTCAGCGGTATAGAATCTGCCTGCCAATGCAGGAGTCACAGGGTTGATCCCTGGGTTGGGAAGATCCCCTGGAGAATGAAATGGCAACCCATTCCAGTATTCTTGCCTGGGAAATCCTGTGGACAGAGGAGCCTGGCAGGCTACAGTCCATGGGGTCGCACTGAACACACACATTAACTTTTGGAAACAACTTAAGTGACTGAGCACACACATAACTTTGGGGCTGGGGTGGTGCCTTGGAGCTTTGTGCAGGAGCTTTTTGCAGGACCTGGGAACTTGGGCTAGATTTCTCAACTGAGAGAAAGAAGTTGTAGGTCTATGTTTTAGGTTTACAACCATGCCATTCTCCCTTGACACTTGCTCAGGCCCTGAATCCTGACTGTGAGAGCTCAGGATGCCCATTAAGCCAGATCTTGGGTCCTGGAAGAATCATAAGCCTACAGGGACTTGTAGTAGTATCCCAAAGGAGCTGCATATACCGGTTCAAAGAGCACAGGACCCAGACCCCCATACCACCTGTGACTCTGTGTAAACTGAATTTACTAATCTGGGTAATCTACCTTGCTGGATTCATTCCCTCATCAATGTGTTGTTATTGAGCAGTTACTCTTACGCTGGGCACTGTGGTAGAGGGAGGGGATACAGCAGTGAAAGAGACAGACCTCACTGGCCTTCCATTCCAGTGGAAAAGATAGGCAGTAAATATGTTAACAAATGAATAAGATGAAGAGTAAACTGTGAAAAGAAAAATGGCAATAAGATAGAGAGTTAGAATGGCAGGGAATGGCTCTCCAGAGAGTACAGCAAGCGCAGAAGGTAGCAGTAAGCTTGGTTTGCTCAAAGAGACAAAGACTAGGCTGGCTGAAGCATGGGGTCAAGGCAGAGAATGGTAGGAGATGCCTTTGAAGCGATAGGCAGGGGAACCAATCATGGGTCTCTGTGATTGAGTGACGAAATGAGACGCCAGGTTGTTATCCTTGATATATGCCCTCTGGCTTGAGGATCTACCTTATGTTGAGCCCCGCAGGAGGACGAAGAGGTCCCAACAGGACATCCTACTGTCGAAATCCACTCTGTGAGCCAGGATCCTCTGGGGGCTCGGGTGGGGGCCACACTTCCAGCGCATCGGTCACCAGTGTCCGTTCCCGCACCAGGTAAACTACTTGCTGCCTCTTGCACTTCCCTGTGGGCTCAGAGCAGCAGTCTGGACAGAGCTCTCCCTGACTGAGCCCTAGGATATGATACCCCAGATGCCAGATGGAGGCTTAAAGGGCAGGGAGCAGCAGCAAAGTCCTTGGGTGAGGGCAGTCCCTGGGACAGATACCTTGGGACATAGTATAATGAACCAAAGGCCTGGATTCCACTCACAGTTCTGCTCCTAATTCACTGGTGGATTGGGCAAGTTGTCTCCCCTCTCTGGGCCCCCTTCTCCTCACCTTTCCTTTCCTTCCTGGGGAATGTTGGAAAGCCTGAATAAGATGAGGGAGGAATAGGGAAAGGCTCTGTCAGCTTCTTTGAGAGGCAGAAGAAGTAGGCGGACTCCATCCATCCTTGCCCTGGGCTGCCTTTCTGAGCCTGCCCCACGGTCCTGTGCCTCAGAAGCCCCTCTTGGTAGGGTTCTCCGGTCAGCCCCTGATGATGTGCCCTCTCTCCCCCAGGAGCAGTTCGGGGACGGGCCTCTCCAGCCCGCCACTGGCCGCCCAGACGGTCGTGCCCCTGCAGCACTGCAAGATCCCTGAGCTGCCAGTCCAGGCCAGCATTCTGTTTGAACTGCAGCTCTTCTTCTGCCAGCTCATAGCCCTCTTCGTCCACTACATCAACATCTACAAGACAGTGTGGTGGTATCCGCCCTCCCACCCGCCCTCCCACACCTCCCTGGTAGGTGCCCAGCTAGGCCCCGCTGTGGGTGCGTGTGTGTGAGTGAGTGACACGTTTGGTTTCAGTTTAGCTTATCTCGCCCAGCACCCTGTGTGTTTGGCCTCACACTGGGCATGGGAGGACTAAAAAGGAACCGATGACATCTGAACACTCACCCCGATGTGCTCAGCACCACACTACACACCGTAAGGGCAGCAGAGATGAATCTGACTCAGATTTTGTGTCAAGGATCACAGAGTCTAAAGTCCTGTGGGGGAGCAGGCATACATGGTTATTTCAAGGAGAGGAATGAGCTCTGTGCAGGAGCGGGGCAGGGGCCGGGTGAGCAGAGCAGGAGGGCTCACACACCACTCTCTTGTCTCCAGGGACTGTCCCACTTCCCTCCTCTGGGTCCTGTTCCACTCCTCTAGGTATTTTCCTGGTCTGACTCAGCTGGAGGCCTGTGAAGGTCAGAGAGTGGGGACAGTCCCAATGGAAAGGACTGGGTAGGGGGAGGTGGGTATGTGAAAAGCCCATATATGGGCAGGGGGCCCATGTGACCCCCAGCCTCTGCCCCCGACAGAATTTCCACCTGATCGACTTCAACTTGCTGATGGTGACCACCATCGTTCTGGGCCGCCGCTTCATTGGGTCCATCGTGAAGGAGGTGATTGGGTCCCAGAGGCTGGCCCGGGGACTTTGGGACTCCCCTTTCCCCCCTGGGGGCACCACGGAGGCATACCCAGCCCTTGATCCCTGAGGCCTTTGCTTGGGGGCTCCCTTTGAACTCGGCTGAAGAGCATTCATCCCGTTGGCTCTTGGAGTTTCCTGAGCGTCCAGGGAAAGGATTTGCCTTGACAGGTTCTGCCCACCCTGCAGGGGGGGAATCATGGGCCATGCTGGGTGGGATTTGGGCACAGCCCCCATGACCTCCATCCAAGGCCCCATCCCATCCTATCTCCCCTGACCCAGGCTTCTCAAAGGGGGAAGGTCACCCTCTTTCGCTCCATCCTGCTGTTCCTCACCCGTTTCACCGTTCTCACGGCAACAGGCTGGAGTCTGTGCCGCTCCCTCATTCACCTCTTCAGGACCTACTCCTTCCTGAACCTCCTGTTCCTCTGCTATCCGTGAGTACCCCTCACTGCCCAGCACCTGCTCCTGACCTCTGCCCCGAGAGTGGCTGGGCCCCGAGCCCCGCGTACCCAGCCGACACACAGGCAGGCAGCTACAGAACCTCATCACACTGTCTGATAGCACTGCCTGAGATCGGGACGATTAGCCTTCTTTTGCAGGAGCAGAAACGGAGACGGCAGGCCTAATTACCCCAAGGTGCCATCGAAGGGGAGGTCAGAAGGGGGCTCAGATCTGGGTGTGTCGCCCACAGCTCTGGAGCAGGGATGCACGGGCTTCGTCTTGCCATCTCTTCCTTTCCTTTCTCTCTGCTTCTTTCTGTTTGTTTGTGTAACCTTCTTTCTTGGTGTTTGTGTAACCTCTCAGTGCCTCCCCCAGGTCTGTGTGCATGCACACATCTGTGTGTTTGTGCGTGTTTCTGTGCAGATGTCTGTGAATGAAGTGTGTGTGTGCATGCATGTCTGTCTTCACATGCGTATCTGTATGTCTGTCTGTGTGTCTGCTTTGCTCATCCACTTCCTCCATCTTGCAAGAACCCAGATTGTTGAGGATGGGAAGACGATGTCTGGGAGAAGCCCAGGCCTGCCCCTTCCTAGCCTGGAACTGGGGAGAGCTTTGGCAAGATCTCCACCCTGGCTGTTCCTGGGGCAGGCTCCTGGCTGCCTGGTCATTCACAGTCATTTCCCAACCCCTGGGCTTTCTGGGTCATGAACTTCTTCAGACCAGTCCATCTCTGTTCCCTGGGAAACTTTTCAGAGCTGGACACTCCTCTCCGTCTCCCCTGCGTGACCAAAAGGACACTGTCATGCTCGGAGCCCAGTCACACTTGCTTTAGTTATAACTGGGCTTTAATTGTCAGAGATATGTGTGTCATATAAAAACATTAAACTTTACAGAGGCTTTTAACATAGAAAATGAAAGCCCCACATAATCTCAGTCCTCTAGAAAACCATATTTTGCACTCTGTCCTTCCACATTTTTCCTGTGCAAGTACACACAATACGTTTTTTTAGAAACAGAAATGGGATTAATCCCTATGCATGATATTGTATAATTTATTACATTTTCACATGGTCATATAATGTGGATGTTTTTCCATGGCACTGTATATGGGTCTGCCTCATTTTTTTAATGGCCTCTTGGTATTCCATAGGACTTCCCTGCTGGCTCAGACGGTAAAGTGTCTGCCTACAATACAGAAGACCCGGGTTCGATCCCTGGGTCAGGAAGATCCTCTGGAGAAGGAAATGGCAACCCACTCCAGTTCTCTTGCCTGGAAAATCCCATGGATGGAGGAGAGTGGTAGGCTACAGTCCATGGGGTTGCAAAGAGTCAGACATGACTGAGCGACTTCACTTCTTCACTTCATAGTATTCCATCGAATAGACTTTGCAGTTTGTTTTGTTTTGTATTCTATTGGTGGATTTTTGAGTTGTTTCTAGCATTTCTCTGTTGAAAACAGTGAGGCAGGGAACATTCTTCTGCATACATCTTTGCACATTTATCCAATATTTCTGTATAACAGATTCCCAGAAGTAGAATTACTGCACCAAAAGGCGTGTTTTACATTTTAGATAGATATTAACAAATGGTCCTCCAGGGTTGTACTGAAAGAAATGTTAAAAATTGCCTTAATTTGACCCTTTCTGGACACTACTCAAATGCCACCCAGTGTTCATGTTTTGCCTTATGTTATATTATTTAACTTTTTGAGTTTTTATTATTATGAGACAAGTATATATGATGTATGATCAAATCCAGTAGTGCTAAAAAGCTGATGATGATGGGAATTCCCTGGTGGTCCAGTGGTTTGGACTGCACTTTCACTGTCAAGGGCACAGGTTTGATCCCTGTTTGAGGAACTAAGATCCTGCAAGCTGTGCAGCACAGCTAAAAACAACTTACGATGGAAAACAGCCTTTAACTCTACCCTCCAGATTTTTAGTCCCACTTCTCATAGGCAACCTCTTTCACTGTTTCTGGTTTTAAATGTTTTTTGAGTCACCTCCATAATTCTAATATCCTTGTGCTTTTTTTTAATTTCTTTAGATATTTATTGATTGATTTTATAGTGGGGTAATAGATTTACATCATTAAAATTGCAAAATGTATAAGAATGTAGAATGAGAAATCCTTCCTTTGACTCCTCTTTCCCAGCTACTACCCAGTTTCCCTTCTGGGAGGTAACCACCAGTGTTTCTGTTTTCTTATATATCCTGGAAATAAATGTTCTGTATATACAAGCATACCACACACACACACAACACACACACACATACACACCCCTACATGCACATATACATCAATTTCCTGCAATGACAGATGAAGGTTTAGTTCACCTTCTATCCATGCTGTTCCTAGTATTTGACAGTTGTTATTTTCAGTTTCCTATTGGTCCTGTTTTTCAATAATGTGAGTATGCCAGTATTTTTTATTCCATCAACAGCAGCCAGTGTCTTAATCCCTTTTATGTAAGTATGTTGTATTCAGAGCCCTACCCATCAGCTTTTGCTCCCCTCTTCCTCCTATCACTTCCTGGCAGCTGTACTCTTATATGGTCACATTTGACATTCACCTTCTACATAGCCATGTTTAAGTCTTCCATTCTTTGGGCTAATTCTAAAGATTAAAAGCCAATAAGTGGCCTTGATATTATTATGAGTATGAAGCTGTCATTCACTGCAGGACCAAGTAGTATGCATAGAAAGATATTCCTTCTCTGTAGCTCCTGAATTCTAATCTTGGGGCTCTTAAAAAAAGAATGTTCCTAATGTCAAGGGCAAATGGTTCCTCTTTCCTTACATTCCATCGATTGCTTAAAATCATGCCACATTTTAGTTTGCTTCATATTTAGATTGTAACTTTCTCATATAGCTTTTTATTTTTCTTGGAGTTTCTAATTGCCTTTCTTCTCATTGACAAAAGAATGATGGGCCTTCAACATACCCTTAAGTTTATCCAGCCTGTCAGTCATGCTGCCTGTTGCCTAGAGTCCATATTTCCCCCCAAGAGACCTCCCTCCTGGAGCCCTCCATCCTCCTGCTCCAGTCCAGAGTGGCTGCTCTTTAGGCCTGCTGTACAACTCTCAGCCTGGGACTTCCCTTCGCTGCCCTCCTGGGTTGGATCCTCTTTTTCCTGGATCCCATGTCTTCCTCTTTCTTGGTTTTCTCCCTTATTTTGCTGGAGTACATTATCAGGTAATTTCCTTAACAAGGGGTATGTGGGAGGTATATACATTCTTTTCCTAGCATGTCTAAAAATATCTTTATTCTGCCCTCATAGTTGATTGATGGTTTGGCCTAATATAGATTTCCAAGTTCAAATTCATATTCTCTCAGAATTTTGAAGATGTTGCTCCATTGTCTCTAGCAGCCAACATTTCTAATGAGAGGTCTGATGCTAGTTTGATTCCAGTTACTTTGTAAGAGACTTTGGTTTTTCCTTTCTAAAAGCTTTTAGGAATATTCCATTTGTTTTTTGATTATTTGAAATTTTGCAAGAATGTGTCTGATGTAGAGCTTTTGTCGTTCTGTCTTGTCAGTACCTTAGGACTTTTTTAATCGGGAGGTTTGGGCATCTCTTCAAGTCAGGGAAGTTGTCTTCTATTATTTCTTTGATGACATCTCCCCTTCCATTTTCTTCTGTTCTAAGACGTCTCTTCATCGGATGGTAGACCTCACAGATTGGTCATCTGTTTCTCTTATATTGTCCATCATCCTTTTCATCTATCTCCCTTTCTTCCTCTCCTTTCCTCCCTCCCCTCTTGATTTCTGTCTGTTTCTCTAGCTGTCTTTCTCTCTCTTTTTACTTTGCTTTTAGGGTGCTTTTAGGGGGATTTTCTCAACTATATCTTCCAGCTTTTTTATTGAGATTTTTTTCAGCAATCTTATTTTTCATCTCTGAGGCCTCTTGTTTTCTGAATGATCTTTTCTCATAGCATTCTGTTCTTGTTTTTAAAATCTCTTTGTGTCCCTTCAGTTTTGTCTTTCCACTGAATCAGTTTTTCTGTTTCATGCTGCTGGTTTTCTAAGTGTAGTTAGTTTCTTTGGTTGTCTGGTTAAGAGTGGAGGCTGATCTTGCCTTCTGAGATGACCCACACTCTGTCTGTGGAGTGTTTTTCTCTAAATAAATCCACTTCTTACCTGGAAAAAAAAAAGTGAAGGACTGAGTAGCTTGGAATGCACTTTTTCTCCCTCTGCCATTGTATATCTGAGTGGCAGGTTTGACTGGGAGTTCTGAGTATGTGGGCAGGGCACACTGACCTGTAGACTTTGCTTTAGGACAAGTGAATAAGGTGCTAGTTGTTAGGCTATGGGCCACCATAGATGAGAAGGGGGAGAGGTATTGCTCTGGAATGCCCCCATTGAAGACCTCAATTCCCAGTTTATTCAGTTTCTTTAGGGAAGAATTTTTCAAGACAGGTTGTGTAGGAGAATAAAGCGAATGACTCATGAATACAGATCATTTTAATCCAGTTTGTTCAACCCTGCTTCTCACTTCTACCCTCCATCAAAGGTGCCCACTTCAAGCCAGTCTCTGTTGGGTCACTCTGGACAGATCAGCTCCTGCCCCCAATGTAGCCCTCTCTTGACGAATCTAGCCCTACGCTATCTAGTTTAGTCATTTCTAGCTGCCTTTTGTTATTAAACATTTAAAATAGGCTAGTTTTAATTGAAATGTATTATTAGTGTAAAATATACAGCAGATTCTGAAGACTTAGCACAAAAAACAAAAAAGAAAGGAAGTAAAATATCTCATATCACATATATATATCATAAATAATTATCTTATATGTTGAAATGATAATATTTTGTATACATTAGGTTAAATAAAACAGTATAAAATTAATTTCTTCATTTTTTATTGTGACTACTAGAAAATGTAAAATTATACATGTGACTCTCATATTTCTGTTGGACAGTGCTGCTCTAGATGATGACTTCCTCATTTGTCAACATGTTTCCATCTGCCATCTAAATTTGTCAGAATCACTTATGTACTGATAACCCCCACTCCCATTCTTTTTGCTGATACGAATTTATTTTCTACTTTTCTTTATTTACTTTCTACATGGATACTGTCACATCTTGGATGGAGAGGATGAAAGAGAATCTGCCATGTTGCATGTGAAGATGTTTCTAACTTTTGACCTGTCAGAGCAGCCATTCGCTGTTATCAAATAGTGTAACTGTATCTTCACTTCTTAGCGGCAAAGCCAGGACAATTCTTAAGTACTTGTCCTTAAGTTTGAGTCTGAGCCCTTGTGTGGTCATGTAGGTGCCCACCCCCTCATTCCCACCGAGTATCCTGAGGAGTGTTTTGGGAATCCCATTTCAGTGTTCTTTTCTGTCCCACGGAATCACTGGCCTCTTTCTTTTCTAAACAGAGTTGTACTGCTCTTCTACTCTGGGCCAGACACCATGCTGGGCATTGTTACGAAGATTAACAACTAAAGAGTATTTATGAAAACACTAGCATAATACCTGACTGAGCATAGAGAATCGATACAAGCTATGTCACTTAAGGCAAGTTAAGGAAACTGAGGCTCATAGACGTTATATAGTTTGCCCTAAATCACAGCATTAGTAAGTGGCAGAGCTGGGGTTTTAACACTGGCCTGTTTGATCCCAAAGATTATGCTCTTGACCAAAATTCTCTTGTTATCTTGTGCTGTGCTGTGCTTAGTCACTCAATCATGTCCGACTCTTTGTGACCCATGGACTGCAGCCTGTCAGGCTCCTCTATCTATGGGGATTCTCCAGGAAAGAGTACTGCAATGTCTCCCACATTGCAGGTGGATTCTTTACCGTCTGAGCCACCACGGAAGCCCTATCTGTTATCTTACTTTAACCTTAATGGAGGGAAAGTAGTAGCATTCCCATTAGATAGATCAGAAAGCAAAAACCCAAAGAGGCTAATTATATGAGTGCCTAAGAACACTATATCCCCTCTTGGAAGTTCAGAATAAAGGAAGAGAACATTACTATAGATAAGGAAAAGTAGAATTCTCATTGGCAGCCCAAGGACCCTTCTAGAGCTATGTCTGAGGACCTGGGGAATTGAGAGGCCCTAAGGGCTTGGAAGCTGAAACTCCTAACACTTTGGCCACCTCGTGCGAAGAGCTGACTCACTGGAAAAGACCCTGATGCTGGGAGGGATTGGGGGCAGGAGGAGAAGGGGACGACAGAGGATGAGATGGCTGGATGGCATCACCGACTCGATGGACATGAGTTTGAGTAAACTCCGGGAGTTGGTGATGGACAGGGAGGCCTGGCGTGCTGCGATTCATGGGGTCGCAAAGAGTCGGACATGACTGAGTGACTGAACTGAACTGAAGGGCTTGGCAGGTGGCACTAGTGATAAAGAGCCTGACTGCCAATACAAAAGACATAATGAGACATGGGTTCCATCCCTGGGTTGGGAAGGTCCCCTGGAGGAGGGCATGGCAACCAGTCCCAGTATTCTTGTCTGGAGAATCCCATTGACAGAGGAACCTGGTGGGCTATAGTTCATAGGGTTGCAAATAGTCAAACATGACTGAAGCGATGGATGTAGCATAGCATGAGCTAAAACAAGGAATGCCTGTAAAGAGAACCTGTAAGGATATTCTATGTGCTGTGCTTGGCACTTACCTGGCTTAGTTATCTACTCTTCCTAGTTATGAGTCTATCTAATTTTCTCCTTAAATTATATTAGCCATACACTCCATCCTTTAACTTAAGGTTACGCCTCAGAGGAAGGGGTTTATACTGTTTAAGGGCCTATTTCATTGCCTAGCACATAATAGACACACAACAAATACTGTTCCTGAACTGTCCCCCTCTGTAAACTTAAGAGCTGCCTTTACAGGCACCCTTGGCCACATCTACCTCCCTTTTGTGGTACCATGTACATTTTTAATTCATGAATTGCTTTCATTTGTTGAGTGTCTGTCTTGATCTCGGGTACCAGACAGTTCCGGATTTAAATCCCAGCTCTGTTGCTTCCTTACTAATTGTGTGACTTTTCCAAAGCTACTCCTCCACCTCTCTGAGCCACAGCTTCCTCTGCTGAAAAGGGCACAAGATAATAGTACCTAACACAGTTAGGAGAAACAGAAGAAAGTGTGTGTAAAGCAGTTAGTATAGTATCTGGAGCACAGGATGTGCCCAGGGAATGTGGGCTATTGTGACTGCTGCTGGGCAGCAATAGACTCGGAGGGCTGAGACTCAGGTCTTGCCTCCTACCGTATTCCCACCACTCCATACAGGGCTTATTCCCTGCTCAGGGCTAACACTGGTGTTGAATGACTGATCATTGGCTGGAAGGCTGGCTAGCTAGAAGGACAGGTAAGAGTCTCCCCTCGGAGCAGCCAGGACAGCTAAAGCCCAGGAGGAAAGAAGATTCCCTGGGTGGTTAAAGGTTGGGATCCTGGCCCATGGCCAGGCCTGCCCTCACCACTGTCTTTCCCCAGCAGGTTTGGGATGTACATTCCGTTCCTGCAGCTGAACTGTGACCTCCGCAAGACAAACCTCTTCAGCCACATGGCCTCCATGGGTCCCCGGGAGGCGGTCAGTGGCCTGGCGCGGAGCCGGGACTACCTGCTGACACTGCGGGAGACGTGGAAGCAGCACACGAAGCAGCTGTACGGCCCCGAGGCCATGCCCACCCACGCCTGCTGCCTGTCGCCCAGCCTCATCCGCAGCGAGGTGGAGTTCCTCAAGATGGACTTCAACTGGCGCATGAAGGAGGTGCTGGTCAGCGCCATGCTGAGCGCCTATTACGTGGCCTTTGTGCCTGTCTGGTTCGTGAAGGTGCGTAGCTTAACCCAGGGAGGGGAGGGGTCTGCCCGGGGCCTCACCTGCTGCCTGTGCTCCAGGAGCCCTCCTGCTTGCAGAAACGAGGCTGCTGCTCTTGATGAGATTTCCATCTGTTCTCTCAAGGGCCAGAGTGACTACTGCCTCCCTTTTATTTGTTTATTTATATATATATTTTTTAACTTTTTCTTTTGTATTAGAGTATAGTGAATTAACAATGATGCGACTGTTTCAGGGGGACAGCAAAGGGACTCAGGCATACATACACATGTATCCCTTCTCTCCCAGACTCCCCTCCCATCCAGGCTGCCACATAACATTGAGCAGAGTTCCCTGTGCTACCCGGTAGGTCCTTGTGGGTTATCCATTTTAAATATATAGCAGGACATACATGTCGATCCCAAATGCCTCCATTTCAGAATGGAAAAGACAAGGCTTGCTGAACGAACGTGGCCCGCACAAGGTCACCCAGCCAGTGAGGGGCCCATGGCATGTTGTTCATGATACTTGAAAAGGAGTACACTTTGTATACAAAGGAGTCACTTTGTATTCCAGTGTGGCTGTTTTGGCCCAGGCACGTCACAGCGTCTCGCTCTATCATTAAGTCCAAAAGCCAGATGCATCCAGATCTGGGTGACTTCAAAAGCCCATGCTCCCTCTCTGCCTTGTGTGGCCATCTGGGAATGCATATCCCCAGCCAGCTTGTTGCATTTCTCCCAGGACGGGCTGCACTGACGGATTGGGGGTTGAGAAGACTTCATATCTGTTGGGCAACATGTTAGAGCTTTCTTGAGTAGTAGTATCCTCCTCACGCCTCTCAGAGGTGGCTACTCCTATCCTCATTTGCCAGATGAGGAAGCTAGACTGCAGAGAAGTAAAGTGACTTGCCCAAGGTCACATAGTGACTAAGCAGTGGAGCCAAGATTTGAGCTCATTTCTACTGAATCCCAGGACCTGTTCTCTGGCTCAGAGTGAGAGTGATTTTTCTTTGTAGAAAACTGAGGCCTCTTGCCTTCTAGGCTGGCCCAGATTCTGTGAAGTGTATTTCTCTCTGAATATATCTACTTCTTAGCCCCCCCAAAAAGAAAGAGAAAGCTGAGTAGTGGGCACAGGGTTTAAGCCCATGATTAAGCTGCCTTTGTTAGGTGTTTGATCTTTGGTCTTAGGCCACCCCGAGGTCTGTCTAGGGCTGTCCTGATCTCTGAGGAAAGAGGGAGTCAGGGAAGGGGAGGGCGTGAGGACGTTATGGGTGTCTGTGGTCTCACTCACCTCCCGCTGCCTGCAGAACACACATTACTATGACAAGCGCTGGTCCTGCGAGCTCTTCCTGCTGGTGTCCATCAGCACCTCGGTGATCCTCATGCAGCACCTGCTGCCTGCCAGCTACTGCGACCTGCTGCACAAGGCCGCTGCCCACCTGGGCTGCTGGCAGAAGGTGGACCCGGCACTGTGCTCCAACGTGCTACAGCACCCGTGAGTCTGCTCTTCTCTGCCCCACCCCAGCGCCCCCCGGCCCTCGCCATCAACTCATTCAGTCAGTCAGCAAATAGTTACTGAGCATGTCTTATATGCTAGGCCTCGTGGCCAGAGTAGAATATGGCAGGGCCCAGGAAGGACATGCCCCCTGTCCCTGGGTAACTTGCAGTGTCTTGGAAATAGGAAGGGGGCAGGTGGTAAATTCATAGACTTGTCAACTTTCTCATTCGCTGACTTATGTACTCACTCATTGGCTGATCTGTTCATGCGTTCATTCATTCATTCATTACGTCCCTCCTTCCACTCACTCATCCATCCAGTCATTGGCTCATCTACTCTTTCAGCAAGCGTTGCATCTACCTAATCCGTCCCAGATTTGGTTCTGTGTATTGGACAAAGGAGCTTGGACTTTGACCTCTAGGTAGAGAGGTTTTGAACAGTGGAGGGACCCATTCCAAGGTGTGCCTTAGAAACCTCAGTTTGATTAACAGGATATGGTGCTCTGTTAGATGATGACATAACCTGGCCAGGAAAGAAAGCTGCAGGAGGAAAGAGCTAAGATGAGACCCCTTGAGGAGTACTCAGGCTGGTGCGGGTGATAACCGTGTACACGAAGAGTTAGTTGAGTGGGGTGAGAGGCCCAGCTGCAGGATGGCATTGCAGTCAGAGCAGAGGCCAATGTCACCATGCTCAGGAGCCCTGAGGGGCCGGGCTGTCCTCCCCTCAGCCTGACGTCCTTCCTGGTGCTTAGCATTTCTACAGCCCTTCTTCATAGTATTTTCACCCCAGTTATTCTAATTTTCCTGTCTGTATTCCCGCATTAGACTGGAAGCTCCTCAAGGCTGGGACCACCCCTGTATCACATCTGAGTCTTGGGCCCAGCACAAGGCCTGGCGGAGAAGAGGCCCCCAGGACAGGTTTGTGGAGGGAGGCCACAGAGGCTCAGCCTCCTAATGTTGGCCCTCCGTGCCAGTCAAGTTCCCTCCTCTATCCAGGTGGTCCAGAAAGCAGATGGGTGTTGCCAAATGGGCCGAAGTGGGGCTTGACTTAGGCTTGAGGTTCTGAGAGGAAGGGGAAAGAGAAAGATAGTACATGGCTAAATACAAGGATAAACCTGTCCATGGCTCACCATGGTCTGCAGGTAAGATCCAAGCTCCTTCACATGGCATCTCATGACGAACTGGCTCCTGCCAGCCTTTTCTGCCTCATCTCTTCCCCTAACCTGACTCATCTTCTGCTCCAGCCAGACCCAGTCTCTTCAGATCCTCAAATTCTGTCTGTACTTCTATACTCAGACTTTTGCATTTAATACATGTTTTGCCTTAAATGGCCTTTCCAACTTTCTTTTCCTGCTTAATTCCTATTCATCCTTTAGCACATGGCTTCCTCCAGGAACCTTTTCCCTACCACCTCCAGGATAGGTTCAGTGTCCCTGCTCTGCCTGCTCTCCCCCACCCCCGCAGAACCATGAGCATTGCACCTAACACTTTCTGCTGTGTTTGCTTGGTTACTTGCCCGTCATTCCAGGACTAAAGCTCTTGGAGGTCAGGGTCCTTGTCTATCAAGCACTTGGCCATCTCCTCACTCTTGGCAAAATGCCTGGCTTGTGATAGGTCCACAGCAGATTTTTTGTGTTTTTTGTGTATAGTTTTTTTTTTTAAGGTAAAATTTCCTTATAGTTGAGATGTATAAGTCTTAAAAAGTACACAATTCTCTGAGTTTTGATGAAAGGCATACACACCATGTAACCCATCCCCTGTCAAGATACAGAACATTTCCAGCCAATCAGAAAATTTCCTCCTGGCCCTTCCCAAAGACCCCCTCCCTCTGGCAACCATCTTTCACTTCATTTCACCATAGGCTAGTTTTCTCTATTCTACAACTACACATAAAGTAAATCATAGAATAGATGTTCTTGGGCCCAGCTTCTTTCATTCTGCGTATTCTCTGTGAGTTTCATCCATGTTGTTACATATGACATGGGGGGGGGGGTGTGCACTCAGTTGTGTCTGACTCTTTTGTGGCCCCTTAGACTGTAGCCCTCCAGGCTCCTCTGTCCATGGAATTTTCTAGGTTAGAATACTGGAGCTGGTTGCCATTTCCTACTCCAGGGAATCTTCCCAACCCAGGGATCAAACCTGAGAAATGACATGGTCACTTTTTTTTTTTCCACTTATTTTTATCAGTTGGAGGCTAATTACTTTACAATATTGTAGTGTTTTTTGTCATACATTGACATGAATCAGCCATGTATTTACATGTATTCCCCATCCTGATCCCCCCTCCCACCTCCCTCTCCACCCGATTCCTCTGGGTCTTCTCAGTCACTTTTTTGAATGAAACAATCAATAGCTCAATGAGATTGAGCTTCTTGGAGACAATGATTCTCAGTTCACTGGCCCAGGACCCTTGGAGTTCCTAGGAGATCTCAAAGAACACTGGAAGAAAATTCACTGGTCTCACAACCTTCTTCACATGCCCTGTGGGGGCCTCTCTGTGCCAGGCCTCTTGTGTGGCATGCTCTGAGGACACAGACATGAACTGGACGCCATCCCTTCCCTTCAGCCCTCCCAGACTAGTGAGGGATACAGGGAAATAAATAAATGACAACACATTGGGGAAAGTGGACCAATAGCAGTAGCTTCAGGGACCATTTAAAGGATGCTGAACTCTGGGGGGAGTTTGACAAAGACTTTCTGAAGGATATTGGGTTTTGAAAGATGACATAGAGCCTGCCAGAAGGATAAGGTGTCAGGAAGGGCATTGCAGCTAGAGGGAGCACCTTGATGAAGAGACAGAGACAGGAGCAGTCAGGTGTGCTGGAGGAACTAGAGGCAGTTCTGGGCAGCTTGAGCAGGCACTGTGTGGTAGGGGTCATGGAAGGCCTCCCTCGGAGGCCAGAACACATCCTTGGGGCTTGACTCCAATGGCACTGGAAAGCCTTCAAAGGGTTTTGAGGAGGAACTAGTCAGGCTCAGCTTGGTGTTTTACAAAGACCACTCGGGCAGTTAGTTGTGCAGTGGACTGCCTGGAGGCTCGAGGTGAGGCTAGATGAAGAAGATGACCCGAGGGAAGAGGGGAAAGGGTTTTCTTGAGATCTGTCAGAGACATGAATGTCAGCCCTAAACCTTCTGACTGCAGTGCAGTGAATTTCTTGTGATTCTTAACCCATTTTACAGAAGAGGCAGCTAAGACCCAGAAAAGGAAAGTCACTGTAGCTACATGGTAGAAATGGGAATAGAGCCCTGGCGGTCCCCCCATGCCCAGTCTGTCCACCTCCCCTCATGTGGTGAGCTGGACATAAGGGGTTCTGTTGGACTGTGCCTCCAGGTGGACTGAAGAATGCATGTGGCCACAGGGAGTGCTGGTGAAGCACAGCAAGAATGTCTACAAAGCAGTGGGCCACTACAACGTGGCCATTCCCTCCGACGTCTCCCACTTCCGGTTCCACGTGAGTCTCCTCCGCTGGGAAGGAGGGGTGGTGCCTGATCTAGAGATCAGGAGGGCCAGCTGGGCAGGAAGGTGATATCATAGCAAGAGAAGGCTATCTTCCGTAGTTCCCGAATCCAAAAGAAGACACTGCACACGTGCAACCCAAGGACAGTCATACAAATGATCACTTACCACTACAGCACACTTGGTACCACCAGATCTTTGAAAACTTTGGATGGAGAAGATAATACAACAAAAGGAGGGGTTCTTGGTGGTGAAAATCCTTACAGTCATCCTTCTTACTGTGTGCCAGGCCCTGTGGTCAGCACTTCCCATGTACCCTCCCGTTCAGGCTTCATCAGAACCCTGTGTAAGAGAGAAGTACCAGGGCTGTCCCAGTTTTTAGGTATGAAATTGACTCAGAGAGTTTAACTTGTTCCAAGGATGCCTTACTGGGAAACTTGGGAACTAATGATATTGACTCACAGACTCAGCACAATGGAAAGGACTGCTCAAAATTATCTAGGCTGGTGAATTTCATTTACTTATTTTACTGTCAGAATTCTTTGTTCCAACACAGTCAAACTAAAGTTCAGTATATAGGACCTCTCAGTGCAGCTCTGCTTGAAAGGGTTGAAACTCCTTTCATGTCCCGCTCAACACTGCAGTAGCTCCTAGAAGACCCCCCTGCAACCTGGGACTCCAAGGAACACAGTTTGAAAAACCATAGATCTGGGCTTATCTCTTTATTTCCCAGTAGAGAAACCTGAGGTCCAGACAGGAAGGGGACCTGCCCAAGGTCCTGCAACTGTCAGGTACAGAGCTGAGCCTGGCTTGCTGGTCTCTTGGACTCCTGTTCCTTGCCACTCCTCCTCCCATCCTATAATTAGTTCTTGAGGTTTAGGTACCTTCGCCCCTGCAGAATCATGAACCCTGGACATTGATCGTTCTTTTAAATTAATCAGAAAATTTTTCTTAGTCCTCTATATTCTACCTTGCTCTGTGGACATCAGGTAAGAGTGATATGTGTCCGTGTTCCCTGGAAGCTTCTGGCCCAGCTGAAGAATGCTGCACACACAATAGTGGGACTCAGGCTGTGGAGTCTATAATAACTTTACATGTCTGTGATAAGATACTACATTGTTCAGGCCTGACAGTACCCAGAAGGTCACATACTGCTTTTCAACCAGAAAAGTCTGATAGGGCAAGCCAGACCCCTCAAGAAAAGCTGCTTGGAAAGGTAGAAGTTGATCAGGATCTTAAACAACCATGTAGGAAGCAGTAGTCTTTGTTTTTTTGACTATACCCCACAGCATGTGGGACCTTAGTTCTCTGACCAGGGTCAAACCCATGCCCCCTGCATTGGAAGGTGGAGTTTTAACCAGTGGACCACCAGGAAGTCCCAGGGAGGCAGTGGCCCACAAATAAAGGCAGAGAGGTGACAAGGTCCATACCCAACCCTACGAAGGCCAGCTCCCCACCCAAGTCTGCATGGGACCCCGAGAGCTTGACCCCTTCCTTGGCCACCCAGAACCCCCATCCAAGAGGCAGATTTCTGGAGCCTGCTTTCCAGTCCATGCCTACTCTTTTCCTGGGCAGTTCTTTTTCAGCAAACCCCTGCGGATCCTGAACATCCTTTTGCTGCTGGAGGGCGCGGTCATCGTCTACCAGCTATACTCCTTAATGTCCTCCGACAAGTGGCACCAGACCATCTCACTGGCGCTAATCCTCTTCAGCAACTACTACGCCTTCTTCAAGCTGCTTCGGGACCGCCTGGTATTGGGCAAGGCCTACTCATACTCGGCCAGCTCCCAGAGGGACCTAGACCACCGGTTCTCCTGAGCCCCAGGGCGACCGAGGGACAGCATTCAGGCTTCAGCCAGGGGCTCCCTGGGAAGCAGCTGTGTGGGAGGGATGGGTGAGGGGCAAAAAAAAAAAAAACAGACAAAAAAAATCCACCAGAGCTTTGTATTTTTGTTACATACTGTTTCTTTCTTTGATAATTGATGTGATTATGAGGAAAAAAAAGTCCTATTTTTATACTCCCAGTAAGCCTGTGTCTTGTATTTCTTTCCCCTCTTGCCTATCAGGCAGCGAGCAGAGGTGTGGGATTCTGGGCCAGGAAGCCCCATGTGCTCTGCTGGGGGCCTGTGAACTCTGCCTTCTCCAGTGGAGAAACGATGAGGAAACCCCAGAGATCAAGGTGGCAGCAGTAGCTGCTGTATGCCAGAGGCTGCCCTCCCGGTAGTACAGGAGTGAGTGAGTGAAGCCGCTCGGTCGTGTCCGACTCTTTGCAGCCCCACGGACTGCAGCCTACCAGGCTCCTCCGTCCATGGGATTTTCCAGGCAAGAGCACTGGAGTGGGTTGCCATTTCCTTCTCCAGATCTTCCCGACCCAGGGACTGAACCCAGGTCTCCTGCATTGTAGGTAGACGCTTCGCCGTCTGAGCCACCAAGGAAGTCCTTAATCCCATTTTTATGACAATTCTAGGAGGTAGGTGCTGTCACTCCTGTGGATGAAAAACAGAAGCTTAGGATGCTACAGTGATTTGCCCGAGGTAACACAGCTAGAAGTACTAGAGCTGGGCCCCGAAAGAGGGTTTTTGATGACATTGCTGTCCTGATGTGATGTCCCGATTCTCAGCACGCAGTCACTGAGACCCTGCCCTGTGCCAGGTACCATGGTAGATGGTGAAGATGCCAAGACACAGAAACAAACATGTCACTATACGCAGGTGGGTATAACAGTTACAAGGTACAGAATAGCTCATGGGAGAGAACACTGAATGCTCTCTGGACTTCTTGGAGGAGGAGACAGTCTGAGTTGTATTAGCCACCTCGCAGCGGGGCAAGAGGAGGAAAAGGTGCTTCAAGCAGAGCAATAGCAAAGAGATTTGGAACATTCTGGTGTGTCCAGGGAGGTAAACAGAATGTGGTTCCTAGAACAGGAGAGAGAAGGAAAGTGAGGCAGAGGTGGGTTGGAGCTGGAAAGGTCTGCAGGGACTGGGTGAGGGAGGATCAATGGCTATAGGCTAGGGAGATCAAGCCAGTCAATCCTAAAGGAAATCAACCCTGAATATTCATCAGGACTGATGCTGCAGCTGAAGCTGCAATACTTTGACCACTTGATACAAAGTGCCAACTCACTGGAAAGGACCCTGATGCTGGGACAGATTGAAGTCAGGAGAAGAAGGCGGTGACAGAGGATGAGATGGTTAGATGGCATCAGTGACTCAATGGACATGAGTCTGAGCAAACTCTAGGAGACAGCAAAGGACAGGGAAACCTGGCGTGCTACAGTCCACAGGGTCCCAAAGAGTCAGATAGGACTTAGGAACTGAACAACAAAGGAGGGAATGTGAGCGAGGCTAAGGGCAAGAATGGAAATGAAGCTGCTTGGAAGCCCTCCTGGCTCCCCGTGGAGCATAGGATGGAGGGCTCAGGGGCTGACAGGAGAAGAGACACAGTTATAGACACTCATCTAGTCTGAGCATGTCCCCTGAGCCCTTTTTCAGCCACAAGTTATACTGGCGCTCCCTTGGTGGTGCATAGAAGACAGACACTGCAGCAAATGTTTTTGGTGCTTTTGTTGAGTCAGGCATTGTGCCAGACACTGGGACAGAGACAAAGATGAGGAAGATACAGTTTCTTCCATAGACAACCAGGAGAGACACCTTGTCAACAACTTAGGGTGCCAAGTGCTGAGGAAAATGTGTGTCCAGGACACTAGGAAGCAGAGAGGACATAGGCTGACCCTGCCTGAAAATGCAGGGACATGGGCTCGATCCCTGGTCGGGGAAGATGCCACATGGCTTGGAGCAACTAAGCCCGTGGCCCTTGAGCTGGTGCTCCACAACAGGAGAAGCCATTGCAACGATAAGCCCACGCACCACAACAAAGAGTAGCCCCTGCTTGCCACAACCAAAGCTGGCACCCAGCAAGGAAGACCCAGCACAGCCAAAAATAAATAAATAAAAATACTTTTTAAAAAAGTGTATGGAAAGGCGCAAAAGAAGATAGGAGCATACATGGGGAAATGTGGTTCCCCAAATATGGATGGAGCCTGGATTGCCTGGTGGGGAGTTGCCCAAGAAGCCAGTAAGGACCAGCCTAACATGATAAGGTCTCTGCTTTTAAAGAGATGGGGGGGGGGGGCAGTAGCTAAGACTCTGAGCTCCCAATGAAGGGGGCCTGGGTTCGATCCCTGGTCAGGGAACTAGATTATGCATACCACAACTAAAGATCCCAAGTGCCGCAACTAAGACTCACCAGAGCCAAATAGTGGGTGCAAGTGGGAGAACCTGGACACAGAAGACCAGTGTGGAGACAGGTAAAACAGACCCGCAGAGAAAAAAGGGGTCTGACCTTGAGCAGTGGCAGTAGGAAGAGAAAGATAAGGCTCCATTTCCTGATCCCGATTCCTAGAACTGGCTTTTTGAGTTGCTTCCGTCAATGGGCTGGGTTACAACTAGGACTTCAGCTCCCAAAAGATAGTTCCTTCTTGGGATCCATGACTTAAAGACATAGCCTTCCTCTGTGTGTTGAGGTGGGGAACAGAAGGACCAGAATGTGATTATGCAAAAAGGGAGGTCTAATGTGTACCAGCCATAAATTTCATGATTCAAAAGGCACATAAGAAACTTCCCTGGTGGTTCAGTGGTTAAATTACAGGCTCCCCACTACAGGGGATGAGGGCTCGATCCCGGTTCAGGGAACTAAGATCCCACATGCCACCGGGTGCAGCCAACAACAACAACAAAAGACACTTGAACCTCAGAGCCTCAATTGCCTCATCTCGAAAAAAGGAGATCATATTCCTTGTTTTGTGTAACTCACAGATCTGTTCATTCGTTTGTTTATTCATTCAATAAATATTTATAGAGCACATACCCTGTCCCAGATACCGTGCTAGGTGCTGAAGAGCAGTAATAAAGGATACAGAACTGACCTCTGCCCTCAGAGAGCTTGCAGCAGGGATAAATGAAGCGCTCTGTCAACTATAAAGCCCGGCACCAGTGTCATTTTTCTACTTATCTCCCAATAGGATTGTAATCAGTTTTACTTTAGATTTCTTCATTTCCTTGTCTCTATATCCTTGGGCAAGTCACTTTACCTTGCCAGATAACTCCTTATTCATATCCAGTTCAGGGTCTATGCGTGGTTTTAACTATTAATACAAAAGGAAGGAATACCTTTTTGGAAGAAAAAGTTTCTAGGGGAGGAGACCTTTCACTACAAAGAGGAAATAGTAGGATAAGAAGCTGAGAAATCTTAAGCAGCTTAACTTTCTTTGGTAGGTGTCCCTCCCAGTTTTCCTCCACCCACTCCTTTCATATCTCATCCCAGTTCCCCGCCTTTAGCAGCTGCGGTCTCTTTAAACGAACTCGTCTGTGTGAACTAGGCGTTGGGGCCGAAAGCGCGTTTCTTCCCGGGATTGAATGTTAAATTGTTTGTCCTTTCCGGGCTGCCGTCCTGCAGATCCGCCATATTGTCTGCTGAAGCTGCCGCCGCTGCCGCCGCCAAGTAGAAGCGAGCGGAGCCGCGATGGGTGAGTAAGGAAACCAGGCAATTGGGGATTCGGGCTGAGACAGTCTCGGGGCTTGGAGTCTGGCGAGAGCCTGTCTCCAGGCTGTAGAGGATGTCTGAATCTCCTCCAAATAGATTTGAGGGGAGAAGCCAGGCCGGGAGCGCCGCTCAGGCCAGTTTGGGGCCGGGTTAGGGCCCTTGCGGGGAGCAGTCTTTGGGGGTTGGTTCCGGGAATACCTTGTCACTTCTGGAACCCCCACGTGGTGGCCCTGGGCCGGATCGCACGCGTTCCCGGAGGCTAGAAAGGGGCCGACCCTCTGGTCTGTGGCGAGCCTGGGCTTGGGGGCCGGGCTCCAGGCGGCGGGACTGGGGGCCGGGCTCCGGGTGGCAGGCCCAGGCGACGCTAAGGGAGCCCTCTCCAGGCGTGTGTCTGACCGACGCTCCTGTTAACTGGATTCACTGACTCCCCTGAACTTAGGGAAATCCTGCCGATGTCTGAGAGAGAAAGTCCTCTGGCGAAGGTACGCCAGGAGATCCGGCTCTAGGCCTGGTAACCAGGGGTAGCCATGCCAAAAGCAGCTTGGGCCGCTGAAGGCCTGAAGAACTTCCCGAGCCGAGGCGGAAACGGGGTGGTTCGATTGGGTTCAGAGTGACAGCCTTCCTAGTGGTAGAAAACCAATGCCAAGACCTCGTGGTCATGTATAGGTCGGGGACTTTAGGTTTCTGGGCCTGGCCCTGATTAACAGAAAAGGAGGACCTGTTGCTCTTTCTAAAGGGACTCCAGCCAGCAAAGCCAGTGCTCAGAGAGATTACGATGGCCAAGTCGTTGGATTTAGGGACAGAACCATCAGTGGTGCTTCTTCTCCAGCACTAAAAGCTGCTAAATTTGCTAAGCTCTTCCTCTTGTGCAGGCATTGTTCTGATTGCTTTACGTGTCACGTTTTATTTAATTTGCACAATCTATTGAGATATTACTATTATCCCAGATAAGGAAACTGAGGCTAAAGTAAAGTAACTCAGGCAAGGTCACACAGTAAGTGGCTTAAACCAGGAGGATCACTCCAGAACTGTAGTTTATAGCTGCTGTTTTTTGTGGCCTGGCCCTCTAGTGGTTGGGCTGGAGAAGAGGGAAAGAAAGCTTTTAATCCTAGGCAAGAGTTGTAAAGGTGTTTTGTTTTTGTTTGCTAGTGGGCCCACTTTGAAACTGAATAACTCCAAAGGTGAATTGCTAACCCCAGCTATTTTGGGTGTTTTGGGGTAGGGAGCTAAATGAGATTCTAGGATCGAGTATTGTAAGATCCCTGATCCTGAGGAAACATAAATTATTTCCTTGAGCTGAACAACAATGAGTTTAGAATCAGATCTGGTATTATAATCCTGCCTACTTCTTCCTAGCTCTTATCCAGAGAAGTCACTTAAATGTCAAATGCAGTAATGCATATGGAAAACATCTAGCACAGCTCACAATAAATGTTATTTTCCTTCCTTTCTGAGCCTTCCTTTTCTCATCTCTAGAGAGAGGGAGGGGACAGTGTTATCCAGGTGTTTAAGAATTAAACAAATTAAATGAGATACCACAGTATCTCAATGGCTTACCGCAGTGGGTAGAGAATCTGCCTGCAGTGCAGAAAGCACAAGAGACATGGGTTCAGTCCCCGGGTCAGGAAGATCTGGAAAAGGAAATGGCAACACACTGCAGTATTTTTACTTGGAAATCCCATGGACAGAGAAGCCTGGTAGGTTACAGTCCATGGGGTCACGGAGAGTTGGACATGACTGAGCACGCAAGCACAACAAGAGCTCTATAAATATCAAAACAGATTCTTTTTCACCTTCTATGTCTGTTCCTTTCTTTTAAGCACTCTGGTTTCCAGAATCCTCGATTAAGGCTGATAGGCCTGTCTTTGTAAGTGCAACTTCATGAATGAATGAAAGATTTTGGGGACTTCTATGTTACAGATTTTGTATTGGCCTTCAGTTTCAGCAACACTGCTGCCTCAAAAGGGAAGGAGCTAATATTTAGTTTATCAAGCCCAGTGAAGTAAATTTGGGCATGATTTACTCAATTTTTACAGATTGGGAAACTACTTCAGAGAATAGAACACACTAGTTGCAGCAAATCCAGAAGTGAGATTCTTACCCATTTTGCTGCAGAGAAACCTCTAAATAGAATCACATTAGTCCTTTTATGGTACACTTTGAAATGGAAGTTCTTCAATAGAGCAGCAAAACCTGACTAGGGTCCTGAAGGGGATTTTTAGAGTCAGGTAGCTTCCCCCTTTTCTCTGCAGCTCCACTTCAAGCCCCTCCCCCCACCCCATCCCACCTTGCATTTTGTCTTTCTGAATACTCAGCTGTTGGTGGTGATGTTTTGTGTGGATTTTGTGGGTTATTTTGTTATGTGTGGGTTGGATGTTTTTGTTTTCTGATCCTTATACCACAGAGTGAAATGTATCCTTACGTTTAATCCTAACATCAAATCCAAGATGGTTTTGTGTGCGTGCTCAGTCACTTCAGTCGTGTCTGACTCTTTGCAATCTTATGGACTGTAGCCCTGCCAGGCCTTTCTGTCCATGGGGATTCTCCAGGCACAAATACTGGAGTCGGTCGCCATGCCCTGTTCCAGGGGATCTTTCCAATGCAGGGATCAAACCTGCATCTCTTAATATCTCCTACATTGGCAGGCAGGTTCTTTACCACTAGCACCACCTGGGAAGGTAGTTTTGGTTATCCCCATTTATAAATGAGTAAACAGGCTTTGAGAAGATTTGGTGTTTAGTTCAAGGCTGGTGATGTAAGCCCTAGGGCTGGGGACACTAACACAGCCTGCGTCACACCTCCATGTCTAGACCCTGCTGTATTTCACTGCCTGACTGGCATACTCTCCTCAAGCTCTGGCCTATATACTATACTGTTTCTTCTGTGCCAGACTTCGCTAGCCTTAACTACCTTTGTAGTTATTTCATTGCTATTAGGAATTTTGTGGGGGTGATGCTTGCAGCTCTGAAAGTTACTTGTTTTAACCCTCCTTAGCAGAGACCACAGATTCTCAAGACTAAGTCTTGGCAGACATTAATTGATTTTATCTGGTTCCTATCGTCCTGCTAACCAGGAAGCTGGCAGCACCTTCCCAGCCCTGGGGTGATTGATGTAGCCCACTAGCCTTGATTGATAGAAACTCTAAATCAATCATAATTCTATCTCTCTAGACAGTGATTGATGTAGGCATAAGCAGCTGATACAGATTTTGGCTGATTAGATGTGAAGGGAAGCCTGAAGGACTTCTGAAAAAGCCTTTCTTATTTGCCAAGTTTTATTCGTTTTTGCCAGTTTATATTTTAACCCAGGTATCTCACCAAAGTTTGAGAACTTAAAAAAAAAGAAATGGGATAACTGTAGTAATAACCAGTGCTTGAACTTGCTATATGCTAGGCACTAAGTACTATAATACTAATTCATTTATTTCTCAGATTCTCACATTCTAGTTGAGAAAACTGAAGCACAAAGAGGTTCAGTAACTAATGCAAGGTCAGAGCTAGTAAATAGAAGAATCACTTCCTCAGGCAGTATGGTTCTAACCAAAATATGGGCTATTAAGGACTGTGTTCTGCCTCTGGAAAGGAAGGATCCCTTTTCTGACTCTTGAAATTGCCGTTCACAGTACTGGGAATTCTAAGAGGCAGAATTTATAAATAAAGAGCATGCAGTTCTAAGAGTGAGGGTCAAGATGGAAAGAATCTGATCTCCTTGTGATGTTTTTGGAACTGTCATTGCCATTGGCCTGTAGGATACTGAAGGTTGCTTCTAGTTTGCTGCAAGTAACAAAACCTTTCTGATAATTTAGAACATTTCTTAGTTTCCTTACAGCCTTGCCTCTCCATCCACCCCATAGTTCATAACAGCAACAGAGAAGGCACTAAACTAAGTGTCCAACCAGCGTCAAACTCACTCCTCCTGCGTGGGATACCTTCCCTGCATTTTTTGTTAATGATCAGACCATTGGTCCAAACACTAGGGCATAAGAGAAGTCTTACCCTTCTTTGGTTCCTTACTGTTTTCTTCCTTTCCTATATATTGGCAGTTGTTGGATACTATGATCCTCTTACTGATGTCTTCCGTCATCCCTAAATTGTTTTGTGTACGTTTTTCTCAGAGCATAGTTCCAAAAAGACTAATTCTGTGGTCTTTAAACTTGCTGAATCTCAGGCTCCTTGATGTGAAAATATAATAATATTGTTTATTAATGTTAATGAAGTGTCAATGAAGTATCAATGCTAGATGTTAGAAAATACTGTAAGTTGTAAAGGTGTCATTATTTCAGGAACTTTCTAAATCTCTTCTGTAACCTCCTATACCACAACCACTTCTGCTGCAGCAATATTGCTAAAACACCCATCAGATCTTGTCACCCTACTCCTTAATTTAGGAACCTTCATGGACTCCTTATTGTCTGCAGGATAAAATCATAACCCATAGGGTGTGGTATTGAAGGCCTTCCTACTGACTCCATTTAATATTTATCCACATATCCTGCATCCCACTCAGACTGCCTCCTAGGTGTGTATTTCAGCTTTCCTGGTAGAGAAAGTGACAAAAGCAATCCCTTCCCCACCCATCTTTTCCTATGGAAATCTTGCCCCTTTTATAAGATCTGGTTTAAAGGCTCCCTCCCTCAGGGACCTTTCCGAAATACGTACCTTATGCCTTCCAAACTGGAAGTGAACTGTTCTGAATTCTGTAGCACTTTGTTCTTGCCTTTCATATAGCCCTTTTCATATTTTATCTCGTGTTACAGCTATTTCATTTTGTAATTCCATTAGAGCTTTAACCAGTTGCTTAATCTCCAGAGCTTTATTTTCCTCATCTCTTAAAACAGGGATGATGATAATGTCTCCCTCGTAGGAGTGTTGGGTGATTAAATGAGCGAATGCTTGTAACACATTTTAGCATGGTGTTTAGCACACCATGAGTACTCAGTAAATGATAACTAATTGCTATTAGTTACTCAGTGAGCAAATAAAGTACTTAGTATGTGTCAGGCCTTGTGTTAAATATAAAAGAGTAATCAATTTGTCTTTTAGGGGAAGGCAGAAATATTTTTAAGATTTATTTATTTATGTTTATTTTGGGCTGCGGATAGGCTTTTCTCTAATTGTGGTGAGTGGGGGCTACTCCTCCTCGTGTGCTGGCTTTGTTAGTTGTGGTCCATGGGCTTAGTTGCTCCATGGCATGTAGGATCTTCCCAAACAAGGGATAGAACTGGTGTCCCTTGCATTACAAGGTGGATTGTTAACCACTGGACCACCAGGGAAGCCCAGAAAGCAAAAATATTATGAACACTTGTCAGAAACATGATGAGGCAGGCAACAGTTATTCATCATTAATTTCAGCAAATGTTTGTTGAATGCTTACTGTGTGTCAGCTACTGTTCTAGGCCCTGGAAATATAGCAGTGAATGAAACAGACAAAAGTGTACTTTTCTAGTGAAATCCTAGAGTTTAAATTCTAATGGGTAAGTTAATAAAATTAACCAAATGGAAACTGACAGGCCAACTAGAGTCCCATGAGATCTGATTGATAGGTTCCAGCCTGTTGTTGCCATTACAGAATGTAGGTCT